AATCGTGCCCACAGCTAAAGTTTAGCTGCTAAACTGTGAACACTTAAAACAATAATGGTGGATACGTTAGCCGAGTGCTAATGTGACTAACTGATCAAACAATACAGTTTGTAAACCAAAGAGACTTTAGTCTTTGCAACTTTACAGATCTTCTTCATGCACCAAGAGCTTGTATCACTTCAAAGAGAAAGGAAAAATTTAAATCGCATCATATGACCCACTTTAATCAGAGCGCAGAACAGCTGTATCACAGGCATTAACCCTATAGCTGCCGGTGCAGCAAACTAAAACAACGTCATTCTACATTAATCGACACATTCTTAGGAAATAGTGGGTTCACAGCGAATTATCAGAACTACTTCAGTAAGACTTATCTTGCTTTACCTGGAAACCTAAAGCTGCACTAGGTATACATCACATACAGTATTAATGATCTGTAACCAAGGTAAATGTGTTTCCATACAGATACTGATTAAATCGTTTCACACCCCATACCAGGCTCAAAGCTTCCCGGTCAATCTGTGCATAGTTCTTCTCAGCAACAGTAAGGGAGCGTGACACGAAAGCTATGGGGCGCTCTGTTCCATCAGCCGTGAGAGACAATATCTTTATTTATCATGCACTTTTTTGATTAACAACTTTGCAGATTGTTTTAATTTAAGGATAGCTACGTTATAAACCGCAAAAGATATATTTTTCAAAAATCCATATGACCTGCTCTTTAAATAAATCAATAAATCCACTGCTCTCTTGTCTCCTCTGAGGCTGGGATTGTTCTGTGCTCGTCTGTGCAGCCAAAGGCAGAACAGTTAACATGTTTTGCTCAAACTTTCGCCATGGCATTAGAACTAATACACCGTTGTCGCTTGTGAAATAAAAATGACGGCGCCGTGGGTGGAAACTTACAGATTAAGGGGCGGTAATAATAATATTATAATGAGATCCCTTTGCCACGTCACCAAGGGAGCAAATGTAGACGCGCTCGTTTTTTCAGACGCTTGCAGAAAAAGGCTTACCAAAAAAAGTTACAGGGTTAATCTTTTTCACGTTTCCTTGGTTGTAGATGCACCAGGGACCTGATTATAGCACTTAAAACCTGGAAAAGTCAGATTTTCATGATATGTCACCTTTAGTAGTTTTAGTTAACAAGATCAACACTGATTTATACATAATATATATAATTATTGTGAATTTATTTTGAAATTATTGTTCAAAATAACCAAGCAAATGTTTTAGAGACTTTCTAGTTAATTTATTATTTAAGTAATAATTTTTATAGGGACAAAAAAAAATCTACAGTTTAATTTGTTTCAATTATTCAGTCGGAAAGCATTTTTATTCTTGCAACCAACTGCCAGACCACACACACAAGGATTGTGGGATATCTGCATTCAAAAATTGACCAGATGGAGGCATTTTTGTAGAATGGGTATTACTGAAACACTGGATTTGGACATGCCTGATGAAGGGAGCATATTCAAGGTTTCAGCAAGTTTTTCCTTATCGTTCTCGGTGTTTGTAAAAACCAAACTGTATCTGCTCTTGCTTTTTTACTCTTCTAATGTGGGATTGTATAATGAATGTAGGTGTGCATATGTGCATTAGTGTGTGTGTTTGTGAGGGGGAAGTTTGTGTATGTTTGTGTGCGAGTGGAAGTGAGAGACGAGTGGCATTTTCTTTGTTCCAGTTATCCAAAACTGCCTATTTAGTCCAACAAGCCACTAGCAAATTGTAATTAGTGTAAGATTGGTTGATAGATGAAACAGGATGGCAGTGAAACACCTGGAGATGATCTGAGCTGGATCGAAACACTCTGCCAAATGTTTTTCTTGTGTTTTTAGCCCATCTGCAACACCTGCCTATGCAAAGATGTTATAGGAGTCAAATGCTGCAATTCAGTGATGCTTTCATGATGTATTAGGTTATAAAATTAGAACCAACTTTTAACAGTAATTTTGTTTAACATAATTTTAATTATATTTAATTCTCTGTATACATTAAAGAAGGCAGTCAGGTGTGGCTTTTTGTGACTTTCAGATTATTTTTCATGTCTTTCTCTCCTATGTCTTCCCGATTTCTGTTTTGCCTTAAACCATGTTCTTTTATCAGTCTCTCTCTCTCTCCCTCTGCTTTTTCTGTGTGGATTAATATGTCTGCATAATCCCAGTACATTAGGCCTGCTCTACATACCAGCTAATTCACCCTCAATAAACTGCAATTGCTCGTTAATTGTGGTTTAATGAGTTCGGGGAGAGACAGGAGGTGTGCAAACACAACCGAGCAAATGTAGGGCTGCGGGAATGCCCACTCACCCTGTAATGCATTAAACGCTTTTGGATGCAGATTTGCCATCGGACATCAAGCGCAGACCCAAAACAGAACTAGAATTGTTTATCATACAAAATGTACGTGAAATCAAACATTGAGATTCATTAGTATTACCACAAACTGCATAGGAACTGTATGCTAATTGATTAACATAACATTGGCTGAATATTAAAACAATTTTCTTAGAGAAAAGAGAAAGAGAGTGAACGGGATGGAAAGAGGATAGGACAAGTCAGGAATGGAAAGTATTGCTAAACTGCAAAAAAAAAAAAAAAATTGCAGTATTTAGTCTATTATCTTAATGTTTTTTTTTTTGTTTTTTTAAGAAGTGTCTTCTGCTCACCAAGGCTGCATTTATTTAATAAAAAATACAGTAAAAACATAAATATTGCGAAATATTATTACAATTTCAAATAACTGGTTTATTTTAATAAAAATAAATAAAAAAAATGGTTATTTATTTATTTATTTATCTATCTATCTATTTATTTTTTAACTTAAGTATGAACCTCACTAACATCACATTTGGTTTGATTTATGCTTTATAAAAAAGTGTTTGCCAATGTCAAAAACACTGAGTAAGAATTTATATATATTTTTTCCAGTGGAAGAGGAAGATGGTTGAAAATGAGAAGTATGTGTAATTGTGAAGACTAGATGGGAGTGGTCATGAAAATGGCAGAGAGAGAGAGAGAGAGAGAGAGAGAGAGAGAGAGAGGAGGAGTAGGAGGAGGCAGTGAAGGTTATTTCTCTATAGATCTAATTAAAATCTACTAATCCCCCCTGTTCTTGCCCTGCAGAAATGGGCCTGAGGGAGCTGCTACAATGAGAGAGAGAGACACATGGAGGGTTACATGAAATATTGTACCAGTCAAACATGAGTAAACACTTTAGTAAGACTACAACACCACGTAATGCTTGCATATATAAGACAGTTTCAGATTACAGCAATGATTTTCATGCTAACTTATTGAAAAAGTGGTCTCTCCATGATTAGCTCAGTTAATTTCTGTCTGTTATTTAAAATTATCACAGAATAAAGTCAAACATGTATAAAGTCACAAAAATTATATGTTTCCATGTCCTTATTGGGGGCAGTCGTGGCCTAATGGTTAGAGAGTCTGACTTGTAACCCAAAGACCCAAAGGTTATTGTTGACAAAAGAGTCAACTATTAAATCCAACTATTCCAATTCTTTTTCCGTCCTGCACTGTGAAAGTTTACATATAGTATGTCCAGGAAAACATGAAAACACATACACTTTTGTGTGTTAATTGTTAAAGCAGACTATGTTTGTCCATTGTTGTTGAGATCAAATTGTATGAGCCATTTAACCCATGGTACATCTACGTTCACATACTTTTTCCTACAACTGTACATTTCAATGTCTGTAATAGTTCAAACATATCCAGAGTAAAGTAAAAATATTGGTTTGCCATGCACAGCAGTCCTTAAGTGTTATATCAGCAAAATGTGGCATTTTTCTGTATATTATACGCAGTCTGCAGGGATCCCAGCTCTCTGAATCAATAATGTAGTTTGCATCAGGCTAATCTAGGACGTTTGGCAACATGGGACAACTAAACTCAACTGTGTGAATTTTTGTAATGATCATGTTAGCAAATCTCTGTTAACATGACCCTATTCTAGCTGGATTGTTATTTGACTTGTTTGTTGGTCTGACAGTGAAAAGTGCAAAAAAATCTGATTTGTTCACATATGTATATGCACAATTTCTCAACAGTTTTCAGACGTATAATAACAGATGCGGATGCTTGTGCAGTAATGGTAAATGATTTTTAACATGCTTGGCCATAAAATCTGAAACGTTGGTTTCCACTAGCTTGGTACATTAAATGGACTATGTCTCATAAAAAAGTCAGCGGGGCAGAACAGTTAAACCAAACTATTAAACCAAAGTTGCCTTTTTAATATTTTAACTTTAACTGAATGTTGTACCTCTTGGCACCGAACTTAAAGAGAAAGAGTAGAGAGAGAAAGAATAAGAATCAAAGTAATGGGTTCACAACAGAACATTATAAGAACAGAGAAAAACAAGTATGAAAAAGTCAAGAGAGAGATAGAGATGTAGCTCTTAAACAGAATTTCTATCAGTAAAGCAGTTAGACCAGGCATAGAGCACAAAGGCATTTAGGTACATTTTGCTTAATTAGCTAATCTGTTTAGAACTTTCATCTATAAATTGTTCCTCAATGTTTTGAAAACAGCACAGGATGTCACGCTTATTGTCAGTGGAAAAAAGAGAGGACGGCATTGTGAAGAAGTCTGTTGTTTGGACCTGAAAATAATAGCTCTTAGATTAACTGCCAAATTAGTATAATTAGATATCATTATAATAAATAATTTTCCAGGTTGATTATCATTCCAACAAAATGATTGTAATCACATGGGTGCGAATGAACTCACGTCTACTACATCTGTGGTGTGCACCTTTTTTTAATAATTTGCATTGTATGTGTAGCGTTAAAAGGGATAGTTCACTCAAAAATGAAAATTCTGCCATTTTTTTTACTAACCTAATGTCGTTTCAATCCTGTATGGTTTTTATTCCTCAGTGGAACAAACAAGGGCATGTTTTTCGAAGAATGTTCACACTGCTCTTTTCCGTAGAGTGAAAGTAGATTTGAACCAGAGGCTGTACAGCTCCAAAAAAAAAAAGAAAAAAAAAAAGAAAAGCACCATAACAATGGTCCATAGGAAATTCCATGTCTTCTGAAGCCATTTACTGAAATTCTTGCCTTGACAGCTGTGGTCACCATCCACTTTCACTATATTGGAAAAAGCAGCTTGGATAAACATCTTTTGTCTTCCACAGAAAAAGAAAAAAGGGTTTCAAAAGGCTTGAGGCATGTATAAAAGATGATGAAATGTTCATTTTTGGGTGAACTATTCTGCATATCCTTGCATATGCAAGATGTTTGACTTGTGTGAGTGATCGCCACACGTCTTGATATTCCAAATTGTCTGTGAAGTTGTCCACTACACCTATGACCTCTCTCGAGCAGAACTCCCTCCATCGCACATGCACTCTGTAAGATCACAGTGAAACGTACACCATACCATAGCGCACCAAGGGACTGCTGAGATGTTTCTATCGCAACCTGCAGCTTGCTCCACTAATGAACTGGTTGCCATGGTGATGGGGATTGGCTGTGTGCAAAGTGAGAGACTGAATAACAGAGGGAGGAAGAAATTTCACACTTCTCTGTGCCACTGCATGTGCACACACACATACAAGAGGACAGTGGTAATGAGAGCAGGAAACTGACCGTTTCGGACTTAACTCCTCAAGGTCAGAGGAGGGGATTTCTTTCCAGCACTCAGCTGCAGGGCTGTCCCATTTTCACAGTTGCTGGAACAGCGCTGCTGTCCCAAAATTCAGCCTGAGCAGCTCGAAGCTACCATGTCCCTTAGTCTGGAGCTTGTGCTCAAGCTTGAAGGCTGCAAGGAGTTGTAGGCAATGTCATAGCAGTACTTGCCGTGTGGGGTGTGTCACAACTCACACCGCAATTCCTGACCTTCCGAAGCATCTATTACAGTACCTGAGCAGGCTGTGGATTGGAGGTATTACTGCAGGCTAATTAATCAATTAGCATTGCCATTTAGCACTACCAGGGTGAACAAAGACTCAAATTATATGTTAATGAAGCTGATGGACAGTTGCTGGTCAGGCGGGGTCTGTTAATCCGACAAGCGGTGATGTTTCACCTCAGTGAATGACAATGTCTCCCTCTAGTGCACATCGGTCAGAACTGCATTTTTTCTTTTTAGGGTCAATGGGGATAAATAGTAATTTATAGTAATAGTAATTGTTTGGTAGTTATTATTAATAAATAAAATTAACCATATATATTTATATGTAAATAAATAATGTAAAATATATGAAAACAGATTAATTATAATACATATGATCAAAAATGTAATACATACTGTTCATGTTTGGTGTCATTTTTTAAAGAAACTACAATTTCTATATACAGAAGAACTGTTAATAAAAATAAATGTTTCTTGAGCAGAAAATCAGCATATTAGAATGATTTCTTAAGGATCATGTGACACTGAAGACTGGAAATTCAGCTTTAACATCACAAGATTGAATTACATTTTAAAATAGATGAAAATAGAAAACGGTTATTTTAACTTCACAGTATTACTAGTTTTACTGTATTTATGATCAAATAAATGCAGCCTTGATGAGCAGAAAACACTTCTTTTAAACTTCAAGAACATTAAAAAATCTTACCAACCCCAAAACTTTAAATGTTAGCGTCTATAATATAAATAAATATATAAATATTTGAAATGTAATATTACAATATAATATTTTAATAATATAATATAATAATTATATATAATTAAAAGCAAATAATTAAATAGTATTATATTGTTGAATCATTTTGTTAATCTAACAGCCATTTTTTTCTCTCTGTCTCTATAGAAGTGTCTGAGGTTCAACCCTGATACAACCGTATGGAAGGCAAAGCAGCAGGTGCTGTGTAGTCTAACTGAATCTCTAAGGGATGTATTAAACTATGGCCTTTTCCAACCTGCTACTGATGGGCACGATGCCAAGTTCCTGGAGGAAGAGAGGCCGCTCCGCGAATACCCACAATCCTTTGAGAAAGGAGTACCCTACCTGGAGGTACCCTTCCTGTTGTTCTCCTCTTCATTTTAGGCATTTTTTGTTTACTCTCTTTTTTCTTCTTTCTTTAAAAAAAAAAATCTTGTTCTATAGTTGAATGTGAATGTTGGTGCTAGGAAACTGCTGCTTCAAACTGTTTGTTGCCTAGGTGATAATAATTCTTTAAGCGTCTTCTCTGGTAATATGAATCCTAATAACCCTGATATGGCTTATTGGAGAATGTCTTTAGACATTTAAAGTTAAAGTGAAAAAATTAAAATGTTTTTTTTTTATTATTTGTAGAGCGCAGAGCAATTAATATTATACTCAACTTAAAGTCTAATTAATTTACAAAAAGCCCTTCTCATCTGAAGTTGATAATAGGGGTGGGCAATATCACTTATTTTCTTTTCAGTCTGATACCAAGTACTCCTACCAACGCCAATGTGCTTCTGTATTTTCATTTATTAACAATTACAAAATATGATTGTAACAACTTAATTTAGGCTTGTGCTTCTCAGCATTTCTGCTGTGTTCAGTTACAGTGCTTGATACTTTGATACCTCAAGATGCTTTTTTAATGAAATCTTACACCAGTGTTATTTTAGTATTACTTATATACTGTTATAGTATTTATTAATGTTTTAGTAAAAATTATTTACTTAAGTAAACTGTATGTTCAGTTTTCATTTTATTTTTAGTAATTTTAATACTTCAACTTAAATATAGTTGTTTCCGTTCCAAAGCTGTCGTTAAGGTTTTTGTTTTTAAGTTTAAGTGTTTCATCTAATATTAATATTTTGTTTTGTTTCAGCTTTATTTAAATGACCTGTAACTATTTTTAAAATAGTTTTAGGTAATTTAAATATAATAGTTTTAGGTAATTTAAAATAAATAATAAAACAAATAAAATCAACACAACCATACTATTAAAGGATGTGTCCATAAAGTAATTGTGCCACAAACAGAAGTTACACCATCTAGAAGAATAGTCCTGCCAGAACAGTTTTAGACAACTTTACTTATCACAAGACATTTTTATTCTGAAAAGTTCCTGTAAGGGTTTTAAGAAAAGACGAAACATTTGTGCTTGTTAACTCTCCTTATATAACATCAGTCCTCCTTACATTACTGTAAACATTTCATTTTTCCTCCACAAACGGATGGAAGTTTCTTTGACGGCTCTCAGTTTCTTACATCTTTCTTAATCTTACACTGATTTTGGCTGATTTTCTTTCACACAGTTCCGCTACAAAACCAGGGTGTACAAACAGACAAATCTAGATGAAAAACAGCTGGCCAAACTGCACACAAAGGTAGGCGTCATCACAGAAATTATCTTATTCTTTTCCAAAAATAGAAATATAAAGTGAACATTCAAGATGTGCTACTTGCGTCTTAGTCTGTATGTTAAATACGGTAAGTAGCTTATCCTCAGGGCATGCACAGCCTAGCATGGCTGTGAGGCATAAATTGTATGTGTCTCCCCCAATAGGCCAGTCTGAAGAAGTTTATGGACTACATCCAGGCCGGGGCTGGGGAAAAGGTAGCCAAACTTGTAGACAAAGGACTTGACACCAACTACCACGACGCTGAGACAGGAGGTGAGGTGTCAGGCACTGCACTGTTCCTTTCCTGTGAGAGTTAATGAACTTCCCATTAGTGAGCTGAATAATGAATTACTGGCAGCAGAGCATAAACTTGGCCATGAATATTATGAAATATGGCTGCATGAATATTCAAGGAGCGTTTACAGGAATGGGCATTTGCATCTTCTCAAACGATCCATGCAGTTTCCAACAAAAGTCATCTGGAGTTTTAATTATGCAACAAATGCATAAAGTTAACATGAGACTCAGTGGCTGCCTCCTAAACCCAATTACTACTTTTGGGCTGCTTAATGAGATGAAACAATTACTCAACGGTTCAGTTCAATGCGCGTCAACAGAGAAAAACCACTGAATAATTTGAATGTATTTGTAACGGGGCAGCATCTTTTATGGCATATTAATTCAAGTTTTTAGCGCTTTGGTGAGCAATTGGTGAGCTGGAGACGTGGCCAGACATGCCGTGAAAGTCGTTTTATGGACCACCAGATGATGCAGAGTAATATTAGCATTCATTTGTGGCAGAGTTTGACTTGCAAGATGACTACACTTGAGTGTTGTTCACAGAGTTGATGTTGTGCTTGCCAGGCTGACAGTCACTTCTCAAAGCAGACCCTGCTAATGGGGAGTGAGAACTGCTGCACCATTTGCAACCACCAGGAGGCTGATCTGAGAAAAATATGCTGTTACAATTAAAGGCATAGTTCAGACAAAAACAAAAACAACCTTTTTATTTACTTACCTTCATGTCATTCCAAACCTGTTTAAGGCAGGATACACCCTACGTGAATAGGGTAAAAAAAAAACAACAACAACAAAAACAAAGTAACTAATGCATATCACCATACTTCTCCAATTGATTGATTATATTAAGAATTGTAAAAAAATTTGTATTACATGTTTAAATATGCAAATGTGGCATTCTCTGATTAAATATACATTAATTTGCATACATTTTCAGAACAGAAATCTGAACATTGGATTGAGCCAGGTTCAAAGTTCTTGTTTCTTTTAAGGTTTTTACAGAGGGAATTTTTGATATCTCTTTTTATCACGCCATAGATCAGAAAATAGCTAGAAAAAAAATTCCATTAGTCTGAAACAACACATTTTTAAAAGGCGAATAGCCCAAAATCTCAAACTTGACCAGTGCACGGGAAAACAATGTAGTGTATTTATTTTTTCTTTAAAACACAAAAGAAGATATTTTAAAAATTTTACTGAAATATATGTACTGTATTATGTGTATCATAAAGCTGTTAACCATTGCAAACGAATCACTGGGTTGACCTTGGGATCTGGATCAGTCTGATTTGTGAATTAAGTTTGTGAATGAATCTTTGTGGGCTGGATCAGTTGATTCATTAAAAATATGTGACTCAAAAGAACAATTTGTCCATCATCACATCAACATGCTGATGATCTTGGGTTGATGCCAAGACTGTCTAGACAAATCATATACATACTGTGTGTGTGTATATATATATATATATATACAGTGGTGTCCAAAATTATTAAAACAAAAATCTCAATGGATTCTTACAAGTAATGGCAAAAGGAATGTTTGGAAATGTAAACTAATATTTCCTACTGGCACTCAACAGCAAAAGATAGAAATAGGAAAATCTTCCTGAATAATGTACCACATAGATTGTAATTATCCATTTGCCTTGTGTAATAACTGATTACTTGTGTGTGTGTGTTACCACACTGATTGTAATTATCCATTTGGCTATTGTAACTGACCGATTGTGTGTGTGTGACAGAGACCCCACTCACTCTGGCTGTACAGACGGAGCCGGGCGGAGGGGAGATCATCAGGGTGCTGGTGATGGGGGGAGCACACATTGACTTTAGGGCAAAGGATGGCTTGACCCCTCTCCACAAGGCTGTCAGAGCACATGCACACACTGCACTACTGGTAGCACATACACAAAACCATGATTAGGATGAAATTATGCTTGTAATTAAAAATTCATATTTAAATCTAATCATCTGTTGTTGTTTTTTTAGACGCTGTTGTCTTTGGGGGCATCTCCTGATTATAAAGACAGCCGTGGGCTGACACCACTTTACCACACTGTGCTGATAGGGGGCGACACCTCCTGCTGCGAGACCCTCCTCTACCACAGAGCCAAGCTAGGGCTTCGTGATGAGAATGGCTGGGACGAAACCCATCAGGTACAAAAAGTGCTGAGAAGAACAGTTTTTGTAACATATACAGCAAACACCTGAATAATTGATGTATAACTGATAACTGCTGTAACTGATATAATTGATGTGCCACAATTGTCATGTTATTCTATATAGTGTTATAGTGTTATTCTATCTATCTATCTATCTATCTATCTATCTATCTATCTATCTATCTATCTATCTATCTATCTATCTACCTATCTACCTATCTATCTATCTATCCATCTTCCATCCATCCATAGGTAACAATAAGTTTATAACTAATATCAGTTTTTGAATTCTTTACACTTTTCCAGTCATTTTCTTTAACAAAATAATGATCTTAATAGAAAAATGTATTTCTTAGTTTCTGCATTGGTATTGTTTCAAATCATGGAACAGATTTGTGTTGCCTGACTTTGATGACATTTATCTTCAGCACAGTTTGCAGTGCAGACTGCAATATTAATAATATTACATCTTTTTGTCTCTTAGAAATGCACATTTGACAGTAGCTTGAGTTGACAGTGGTAATAGCTTTAGAGTTCGGATGCAGATGATCTATACATTTAGATCATGATAACCGCTGTTAAAACCTCAATACCATGGCAAAAATGTATCTATATTGTTTTTAGGTATTTGTAGTCTAAATACTTTTAGTATGCACAAACACTATAGCTTAAAAAATACTGTAATATATTCCAATACTCCTTTAATACCTTTAATACAAGTCTGCATTAATAATATAGTAAAAATTTGTATGAATATCCCACATTTCTGCCACAATACCATGGTGCGGTTAGTATTACTACAGTAAATCCATGGTAAATGATGGTGATTTGTAGATTGAAAAGTCTTCTGACTGTCTCGTTGCGCACAGTGTTTCTCCTGTTTGTCAGCGCTGTTTCATCTGGCTTTAAACTAGTTTAAATCACCGACTCATTTGTGTCCTTCGCTGAATTCAAGTGCTTCACACTGGATCTCACAGCGCTGTTTAGTGTCGTGTGACCGACACTCATCAGCGAGTAAATGCATCTCTGCAGCTTGAACTTTGAGCCGAGCGGATAAATGCTCCACGCTGTTTCGTTCATTTGTGTTTTCGCTTTTGGCGCATAAATATTATATAGAACATTTATTGAACTCATGTTATCATTTTATCGAGGAAAATTATATCTTGATAATTATCATTATCGTTTTATCATCCAGCCCTAGGTCTGATTTTGTAGCCCGGTATCTGTGAATCATTCATTCATGTGTCATGGGAAGCACTGATCTACCCTGAGAACATACCTGCATATTATTTACGCTTTATGTTTTTATGTCTTTATATTTTGGATACATACAGTACCATTATAGTAAGTTTACAGTATGTTTCTTTGGGGGGTTTTTTAAAGAAAGAAATGTATACTTTTATTCTACAAGAATGCATTAAATCGATCAAAAGTGACAGGAATGACATTACAATGTTACAAAAAGTTCAAACAAAAGTTCAAATAAATGCTGTTCTCTTTAACTTTCTATTTATCAAAGAATCCTGAAAAATGTATCATGGTTCCCACAAAAATATTAAGCAGCACAACTGCAGTTATTGTTGGATCGAGAAGGGGTTGTCGGTGCCATCTTCCTAGATTTAAAAAAGGCCTTCGATACCATTAATCATGGAATTCTGTTATCTAAATTGAATGCATTTAATTTTTCTGTAGACACCATTAAATGGGTAGAATCATATTTAACACATCTGTCTCAGTTGGTTAGAGTGAAGACTTATCAATCAGGTGTTGTTTCTTTGTCAGCAGGTGTTCCGCAAGGTTAAATCTTGGGCCCACTTTTATTTTCTCTCTATGTAAATGATTTGCCAAATGTATGTTTCAATTCCAACATCCAGATGCTAATAGTGCAACTCGAGCTGCTGATCAGCAAGTTCAATGTTAAAGATCACGGAATGGCTAAAACATAATTGCTTACAACTAAATGTATGGAAAACTGTATGTATGTTTTTCAGTAAAACTAAAAGTTGCCGTGTGGAGTCAGATGTAGTCATAGTTGGGGAGAGACTACAAGTTGTCTCGGATTTTAAATATCTGGGTATATATATTGATATCAATCTTTTAAAACGCACATCAAGAAGGTTTGCAATCACATTAAGTTCAACTTGGCAAATTTTAGATATGCCCGTAGCTGCATGTCAACTAAGGCTGCGAAGATGTTTATGCATTCAGTGATCTTCTCACATATCACCTATTGTTTGACAACCTGGTCACAAGCAAATAATACTTCTCTCAAACCAATTATCTCTTTATATAAACAAACTTTTAAAGTTTTAGATAGGAAATACATACACCATCATCACTGTGATATTAAAAAGTATATATATAATATTTTAAGTTGGGAAAATTTGATTATATATACAGATCTTTGTCTTATGTATAAAATCAGACATGGACTGTCTCCCCCTGTATTGAGCCAGTTTGTAAACGTAGCACCATCTGGTTACAGATTAACGAGAAGTGCAGTAAGTGCATAGTCCCTTTAAGAAAAAGTGCATTTAGTCAAACGGTGTTTTCATTTAGGGCTGCTCGTGAGTGGAACTCCATCCCAACTTACATTATAAATTTTAATACTTATGCCTCCTTTAAGTTTCACTTAAAGAAGTGGTTAATTGAGAGTCAGCATTGTCAACATTAATTTTATAAACTAAACTTTGCTGCTGTCTTGTCTTTTCTGCTCTACTAGTTTGAGATTTTTATGCTATATATATGAGGTTGTTTGGTTTAGTACTGATTGAATGATTAGGGCTACTGTTACTTGTCTGTATGCTTACATTATCTTTGTCTGTATATTGATATTATGATATTATTGATGCATTGTTTGTCATTTTGTTTGACAGCTGAATTGTGTATATGAGTGAGCTGGTATTGATTTGTTGGTTCTATGTATAGTATAACTTTTAAGCGGATGTTTGTTTGTTTTTTGTTGTTTTAGGAATAGTGTGAATGTTATATGTGTTTCGGAGTATGTAAGTATTATGTATTGATTAATTCTTTATATTTTTAGGGTGACAATTTTTACCATCAGTCCAGGGACTGCAGATGCAAAATAGCCTTCTGGCTAATTCTGCCACATTGTACATTTATGCATTATTGATGTGCATTGTCCCTGTCAAATTAACCTGAAATAATAATAAATAACTGTAAAATACTAGTTAAACTGGTAATATTAACAAAAGTTACATGAGGACTAAATCAGCATATACAGTAATAAATTCAAATATACATGCATTACATTTTTAATAATGTTTCATAGAACAAACATTACACTGTATTTTTAAATTAAAAAAATGTAGCCTTGGTAAGCATAAGAAACTTCATTAAAAAACATTGAAAAAAAACATTTTGTGCCTTCACACACTGTACTCTGCTTCACTGAGACTAACAAGAAACTGTTCCTTTTTTGACTCAAATTATACTAGATATCATTTAGCATTATCAGTAATATTATTAAAATGAGTATTATTACAATGATTCACTTTTAAACTAAAAACAGTCAAATTGTGGTTGAAAAACAGACTTACACTAAGTTTCTAATCACTTTAATAAATCACCTTAAGCTTTTTTGCCTTTCTCAGAGAAAGCCCTTGCAGGGAATTTGACTTAAAAAACCTAAAAGCCTGGTGGAATGTTTAACAAAAATAAAGTCATTTGCAGTCTTTTAAGGTGGAATTTAATAATCATCAAAGATAAACAAGTTGCAAACAGAACTTACAAACATAAAGGCAGTAGAGACAAGTTCAAGAATCCGATCTTGAGTTTCTTCCAAGTATCACCAATTGGGCATCACTGCTCAGTCCTTCTTCTCTCTCTGTGCATGTGTACGTTTCCATATCTATTTTGATTCTTTCTTTCCCTTCCTCTTACTCACACATGTGGTGTTAATTAGCAAAGGTGTCTGTTCTGACAATGTATAAAATCTATTCTTCTCTCCTCTTTTCCCTTCCGTATGTCAAATGACTGTTTCTGCTCTTCCTATCCACCTCTCTTTTATCTTTCCTCCTCTCCTCTCATTCTTTGTCTATCCTATTCTCTCTCTCTCTTTTTTTCTCCAGGCTTGTCAAAATGGGAACTCTCAACACTTGGAGCACCTGCTTTTTTATGGTGCAGACTCCTCATCCCAGAATGCCTCCGGAAACACTGCCCTGCACATATGTGCTTTATATAACAAGGTATAACTGCTGGTCCTGGCACAAAAAATCAAGCCAAATAATAAAACCTCATGTTGAAAATATCTGTCTTACACCAGCATGAATTTTCAGGCTGGTTTGTGCTGACTAGTGCTGGTTTGGTGCTGGTCAAGCATTGCCATGCTCGTCACATGGTTTTTCCAGTGATGCTTTAAAGATCCCTGTGAAGATTTCATTATTTTGTGTATAAGTTCTGTATTTACTGGGGTACTAAAGTGGTATGATGTATAATGCTTGTTATATTTTATGGCCAGCATTAGATGGCTTCAACGTCTTCAGGCTGTTATTGTCTAATTTCACCATTTAGGAGAGTTGTGCCCGCATTCTGCTGTATCGAGGAGCCAATAAGGACACAAAGAATAACAGCGGGCAGACCCCCTTCCAGGTAATTATGAGACACTTGCAGATTGTTATTTGTTTTTCAACGCTCTGCATATTATTAACAGGTAAAAAAATTATAATCATTAAATTCTACAAACCCTCTTCCAACCTTATGTATGTAGTTAAAGTTAACTTAAAGGTGAAGAATGTAATTTTTTGGATGTTCAAATGCTTCCTCCCGTCTCAGTTTAATATGCAGCGGTGACTATAAGTTAGTTTAATGATAATAATAATGTCTAAAATTATGTAAATGTCATGATTCTGCCAGCTTATTTTGTACATGTCTGTTTGATGATCTTTATAATCATATGAAAATGGCATGATTCTTGATAGTTATCAGTGTTTTGTTGTGCTTGTAAACACATTTTTTATTTTTGCATGTCAGTCTGTTGATGCTAATGATACAGAAATGACACATTTTGCTTGCTGTTTTGTAGCTTGTAGTGTGTTATTGTTTTTGTATGCATTGCGAGTCCCAGGTGGAGTGAAGCTGCAGCGAGCCGAACGAGTTTTACTTAACCTCAGCCATCTCCACAGAGCCAGCTGTGACTGTGATCATGCGTTTGTGTTTAATATGAAAGGAAGTTAATGCCTGCGTGTGTTTAATATTGCGATATTCCCAAGCCTTGCGTCACTGTGTGTCATTCACAGATGCAAATATTAAGCGTGTGTGAACTTCTTTTCTAGGTGGCTGTGATGTCTGGCCATTTTGAGCTGGGAGAAATCATTAAAAACCATCGTGAATCAGACGTAGGTAAGGAGCGGAGATTTATTTTGGTTGTGCCGGTATTTTTATTCTGTGTGAGATCATTTATTTGCTCTTCAAACTGTGTGACATTTGGAGCTTGATACTTTCGTCTCTCTTTAGCTGCCTTGCGATTCACAGTCTCTAAGCAGTTTTCACTGCTCCCTACACACTCAGCAGGGGATCTGTTGAAGTTCACTTCATTTGTAATGCTTTGCAACATCATTGAATACAGACCACGTGTATGACTGCACACTTAAGATGGCCAAATACCCTGTGAAGTGAATTTTGCAGGACATTATTGGGCAATTAGAGTGTACTTCTGTCTCTCTTAGCATCTGTTCTCTCTCTGTATTACTGTTTCTCTCCTGATTTGATGTCAGTTCCCTTTTTGGAGTCTCCAAAGTATGCCCCCCAGAGGAGGGAGAGTTCTCGTACTCTTGGATTGCCCCATCCTCATCCTTTCTTGCGGGCCAACAGTGACAACAGCATGAATGTGCCAGACTGGATCGCTTTTCCCAACGCTGCTGGATCAAGCCTTGTCTCCGTGCAGGTAAATTCGTTTTTTGTTTATTTTTTTCCCTTAAATTTTATTTATATGTGAGTAAATGCTACCATTCAAATATTTGGGGTCTGTAAGGTGTTTAAAAAAAAAAAAAAAAATGAATACTTGTAAATTTAGCAAGGATGCATTAAGTTGCTCAAAGTGAAAGTGAAAATATTCCACAAAAATATTAAGCAGCACAACTGTTCTCAACATTGATAATAATAAGAAATATTTCTTGAGCAGCAAATCAGTTTGTGAATGATCAGTAGCAGATGAATATTCAGCTCTTTCCATCACAGGAATAAATTACATTTGAAAAATGTGTTAAAATAGAAAACAGTTCTTTTAAATTGTAATAATATTTCACAGTAATTACTGTATCAAATGAATGCAGCATTGGTGAGCATATTTTCTTTGAAAAACAATTAAAAAACTTACTGACCCCAGACTTTTTAATGGTAATGTTGTTTAAATAATTTTTAAATAAATAATAATTATGTGCAAAAATATGTAAAATGTGAAAATTATACATTTCAAATTTGAATTCATAAAAGCTATCCATTAGCATGGGAGTTAAGGGGCTAACTGGGCCATGCTAACCTTGACCCTTCTGTTTGACACTCTTCATATTTATGTTCAAATTTTAATTGTTACTCGTCGTGTTTATGTGTATCTGTCAGGGTCTAAAGCATGGTGGCACCTTGCGTAGCTCCAGCAGTCCCCGTGGAGCACGAACCCGTTCCCCGTCTCGTGGTCGAACAGGCGACCGAGACGATCGGAGCCAGCAAACACGAGGAAGACAAGGGTGAGAAAGAGAGTAAAAAGGACAAGGTTAACTTGTCATTCAGCGAACTCTATGCCTAAATCATCATCAATATTCATGTCCTGTGAAGACGGACACCTGAATGAGTAGAGCCGGTAATAAATGTGCATAAATTAATGAATGTCAACCCTGTTGTCTGATTTGTGTGCCTTTGTACAGGGCGGGCTCTATCAGTAGTCAGGGCACAGCAAGCGGGCAGCGGCGGCGTCTCTACAGTGCCGTGCCTGGCCGTGTGTTTGTGGCCACCCGCTCGCACTCCACCCAGGGGGACCGCGAGATCAGCTTCAACAAGGGAGACAAAGTCAAAGGTGAATGGATGTGTGTGTCTCTGTGTGGACAGGAACAATGATGTGTGTTGTGTGAGAGTGAGTGTATACTGTATATGTCAGCAAGAATACCATTAAATGTGTGTTTGTTTCTGTATGTTTTTCACAGGTGTGGATAAACGTTGTCTGTGTATGTATTCTGGTGATATGTGTTGGTATGTCAGTATATGTCTGTTTGCGAGCAATGTCAACATGCATGCGAGTGTGTGTATGTGTGTGTTTAATTCTAGAGTCCATGTTTAGATCTGTCACCATAGCTTGCTTATATGCATGTTTCATCATGTATTAGTAAACTCATAAGTGATAGTGATTTCGCATGCGATTTGTGATTAAATTTGTTTGTGTGTACCTCAGATGGTGCTGTGAGTGTGTATCAGCGGCGTCATGCACCTATGTTTTTAAGGGGTACCAGGGGCGGTCCTAGCTCTTTTGGTGCCCTAAGGGGTATAAGATGATACCAAAGAAAAAAGAAAAACAGTTTTGATGGTTAATTATTTAAGTGTGCAGGGGGCCCACATCCATCTCTAGATTAAATATATTATAAAAAAATATTTTTTTTTTCTTACAATTTAGGCTATACATGGGTCCCATGGTCATGAGAAAAACTGGAAATATTAAGGAATTTTGAAACTGTCATTTCCAGGCCTGAGAAATATAGTAAAATGTTGAAAGTTGTGGAAAAATTCTATATGAATATAAATACACTACAGTTCAAAAGCATGGGGTCAGTAATTTTTTTTAAAGATATTAATGCTTTAATTCAGCAAAGACACATTGATCAAATTGATTAAAAGCAACAGTTAAGACATATAGTGTTGGAAATAATTTCTATTTCAAATAAATGCTGTTCTAACTTTCTATTCATCAAAGCAAAGCTATTTAAATTTTTTTACTGTATTTTTGATGCAATAAATGCAGCCTTGGTTAGCATACAAGACTTCTTTCAAAAACATTTTACTGACCCCAAACTTTTGAACGAATTTATCAATATAAATTTCTCTGGTTTAGAAAGCCAGGTCCACCATTGAGCTCGATTCAAATCTGAGACCATATTTTATGTTTAAAGATTTGTACACAAATATGTATAATGTTTTAAATCTGTTAATTTCAAGAACTGTGTCTGACATTCTTCCCAGCGGTCTGTACATGGAACAATCATACAAAAGTCATGGGAATTAATTAGGGGTGGGCGATATGGCAAAAATTTCATGTCACAATTTTTTTCAGGAAAATCACGATTCACGATTCTTTGTCATGTTGGTGTTACTATTTTGCAAGTTGTCTGAGCAGTACAGCCAAACTTTTCCTTATTTTATGTTTTATATTTATATATATTTCCTTATTTAAAAAAAAAACAAAGCCTTACAAGGTAACAAAATATAAAATTAAAAATAATGCCAGATATTTTGGCCAAATTGGGCAAAAATAAAAATCTTTGTCATTATTTTGTCTTTGTCATTAAAAAATATGAACAAAGATACACATTATATTGTGTTTTGTTGCTTTATTAACATTAAAGGGATAGTTCACCCAAAAATGAAAATTCTATCATTATTTTCTCACTCTCAAATTGTTTTAAACCTGAATGAGTTTCTTTCTTCTGTTGAACATAAAAGTTATTTTGAAAAATGTGAAAAACCAAATAGTTGTTGGTCCCCAGTGACTTCCACAGTATTTTTTTTTTTTACTATCAAAGTCAGTGGGGACCAGCTACTGTTTGGTTACCCACATTCTTCAAAATGTCTTCTTTTGTGTTCAGTTCAAGACAGAAAGTAATACAGGTTTGGGACAACATGAGAGTGAGTAAATAATGACTACTATTAGTCACGCACGCATCTAATATACAGGCACACAACCGTTTTTTCTCTCAACTGTTTACTTTCACTTTAGACATAACCAACTGTGATTATATGTAAACCTTGTGTGTTTTTGACAGTATTAGCTCAATCAGAAGAGAAAGATAACTTAGTCCAGTAATCAGGTGCTGTTTGACAGACTTTTTAGTGTGCGCACACTTCAGGTGTAACTTCTTGCCGTAAATAATTTTCTCGCATGTCAGAACAGCACGCAAATGAAATGTTTAACCGGCAAGGCTTTAATGCACATGCAAATAATATACTTTTGTGACTGCAAAGTGCAGTGTCCCGTGAGTGTAACACTACCGCTGAGTTAACGTTTGATGTGAATCTATGTTGCATTGCACAGCGTTTAAGATGGATGCGCCAGAACTGCAACTGATAGAATGTGCGCTGTAGCACAATACTACGATATCGCACACCTCTAGAATTAATTAATCAAAAAGGATGTGAACCCTGTTTACAACCATGTATGAAAAAAAAAACTTTATGATAACTGGAAAATGTCAAGTCATACAATTTCAAGTAAGTAATCAGTGGAAGGAAGGTCTTGAAGAACTCGATTGGACACAACAAATGCAGACATAATGACTGATTTCTGCCACAGCATTTTAAACAAACAATTTTTTACCTTCCATAATCGTGGAACCTAAATATGAAAGATGGTAGTTCAAAATCCACTTGGCTCAAAAATGTGTCTGGTCATGACGCTTCTGGTCTATATAGTGTGTTTTTGTTGCTGCACACTCTTCATATGTTTACTGCTCACACACACACACTGTTGTTTCTCTCTCTTGATTCTCTTAGTGTTGAGTGTGGGTGAAGGAGGATACTGGGAGGGGACGGTTCGAGGTCGCACGGGCTGGTTCCCCTCTGATTGCGTGGAGGAGGTGGCTCTCCGCAGCCTGGAGCCTCGTTCAGGTGAGATTGCTCACACACACGCACACATACATTACACACACGTTATTAGTATCAAAGACATCCACACTACACTCGGAGCTGTCATTTTGATAGTCCCAGATGGAGGTGTAGGACAGTCGGACTGCCACAGCATCTCTGTGATGTTGTGATGTCAGACTTGGTGAGAGAGAGCAGCTATGATGACTATTAATAGTTTACAGCACTACTGGAGTGTGAGAGAGACCGATTGTGCCATTTCACGCTGGCTAAACTCACTGTGGTTTGGGCCACCACGCTCTGTCAGAGTGGGAAACTTCAAGTCAGACGTGTATTTTCTTGTCATGCTGTAGTTGCACCCTCACACACCCAACCTCATGATGATGTGGATGCGGTTGTGTGTGCGTCTTTCAGAGAGCCGCAGTGAGAGAGCCAAGCGACTCTTCCGACATTATACTGTTGGATCCTACGACAGCTTTGACGCGCCCAGGTAAGAACACTTTTAGAATTTATGGATGTGCATTACTGATATGTTGTAATGAAGGACTTTCTGCTAAGAAGACCAGTTTAGAGTTTGTTTATGCTGGTTTGGTGCTGATTTAGCTAGTGGACCAGTGTAAAATACTCACTAAAGCATGAAAGACAAAAATTAAAGCAAAAAAATTTGACAGCAAAAATTGCGGTCAAAGGAAATCTTGCTGGTTAAGGTAGTTAAGATACGTCTAAAATGCTGGTCTAGCTGGTCTTCAAGATACAGATTCTTCCCATACAGATTATTTTCTCACAACTGTCAGAAACTGTCAAGAGGTTTGCGTTCTTTATCATCTACTCGCATGTCTCGTGGGGGTCGCCGTGATTTTGCCAAGTAAGACATGTCCCTGGATCAACATCTTTTGATGATCCTGGATCAACATTATTGTTCAAAAATATAGACTTAACCCAATCCCTACCCCTAAACCTAACCCTACCCATAATTTATTCCTAAAATCAGAGGGAAATGATAGCTGATTAACAAGGGTGTAGAAGCCCCTAACCCTGATTGTAAGCCTAAAACAGATATTTCCTGAAAAGTTATATCTCAATTCTGATTGATTGATTGATTGGAATCTTGTTCCAGGATCAACAAGGATGTTGATCCAGGAACATGTTGTACTTGGTGAAATCACGCTCACCGTCTCGTGGGTTAGACTGAGTTTCATTCAGCACGTGGAGAGTTTTCTGTTGGTTCTTCTGAAATGCTGCCGTTGACAGTGACTCACCTGAGGAGGCCTTGGCACCTTTTCTTGCACTGCTGTGAGTGTGAGTGATAGACTGATGGGCATGGAGATGGAGATACCAGCATGTGATTTATGCATCTCAATATTTGTGGCCTGTGAAGCTGGTTTTGGAAGTCAGATGGGAGACTGTTATGTTAAATTAATTTCAGAATTAAATAGCTGAGACTGACACTGAAGAATGTGATATTGAATTGAACTACAGTACTTTATATTTAGTCGTATAAAGTACTTTATATTTAGTCGTACTATATATACTTTATATACAGTACTTTATATTTAGTCGTACTGTATATACTTTATATACAGTATTTTATATTTTAAAATTATAACCATGTAGGCTATATGCTAGATATTATGCAAAAAAGGAGCTAAAATCACATTACATTCTAACATTATTAAGATCTAAAACATCTAAAAACAAAAATAATTATTTTTAAAGCAGAAGTTAAATTCACTAAACTAAAAATGAAAAGAAATAAAAACAAAATCACATATTAATTGCAGTATATTTTGATTACCCCATTACAATAGTCACTTTATAGTTACTGCTATCATAAAATACACTTGCTTGTAGGTTTCAAATTCTACACATGGCACATTTATTGTCCAACTACAAATATTTTAGCAAAATGTATATTTTTAATCAGAATTATTGCGCTCGGACTGTTTGGAGCATACACGTGGCGGCGTTACTGAAGTCTTGTGAAGTTTAGCGGATAATCACATACAGAAGGCTCATGCACTCCTGACAGCAAAATGGAGATATTTCCATGGAGAATATACCTGTGAACTGGATTATACACTTTCCCCAGAGCAGCTCACTCTGTGTCCTCTGCTATTTTTCAGATGCGCTCTTATCAAATTGTAAGTATATCGATATAAACGGTATTGCCTCATACTATATCGTTTATAAAAAAATATATCTATATATTGTACAAACTCGATATACCACCCAGTCCTACCAGGTTGCTCCAGGGAACTGTTCCTGTAGTAGATGTACTGTACAGTAATTCACTTAAAGGGACAGTTCAACCAAAAATGAAAATTCTGTCATCATTTACTCTTATTTTGTTACAAACTATATGACTTTCATTCTTCTGTGTTTAACAAAATAGAGAAGATATTTTGGTAACCGGTTTTGGTGGCTTTTCACTTTCATTGTATGGACAAAAAAAAAAAATCTAAATATCTTCTTTTATGTTCCATAACAGAAGGTTTATTTCATTTTATGTTACTGTCCCTTTAAGATCCATTTCATAATGAATTTTATACTTTTTATTAAGTCTTTCAGTCTTTTTTGTTTGTTTGTTTTAGTTGTTTTCCAATAAACACTTAATATTTTTCTTAATATATCTAAGATTTATTCTAAGACTGGAAAATAAGTTAACAAATGATTGTAAAGAAGAGGATTTTTATTGTATTTTTTTATTTTTATTTATACATTTATTTTTTTGATAGGGTAAGGTGCCATTCATTTAAAATTAAAACCCCCTTTTTTGCATTTCAGTAAGCTGCTTTTCCATATTGGAATGTTTTTCTCTTGTGAACACACACTAGGTGAACGTGTTTGACCACAGCACTCGCGTCTTTTGTCGCATCTAACAATACAGCGCATGTTAAAATAAGTTCAGCTTTTAAAAACCGTATCTCTAGACCTTTATTTTTCATTCCACTGCCCTGCATCTCACATTTTTAAATGCAAAAACACATTCTGTGTGAATGGCCCCTAAATCATCAGTAATCTACTTTTGTAGGATGGTTCACATAAAATGTATTGTCAACCCAGGGCCATTGTCAGGGGCTTGGGGAAACGTGGGGAGCTATTGAGGTCCTCTATGGTGTAGCCTACTCAACTGGGCCTTAGGCAGAAGGGTGGGACTTAAAATAATGTCCCACCCCTTTTGAATTTAAGTGACAGCCCCATGAAATGAAGCACTTTTCGCAAGACTGTTAATATCTGTTTTTGGTGGCCATGTTGTAATCTCGCTCTCTCTCTCAGTCTGTCTAAGTGTCTGTGAGTCGTGTGCTGGTAAATTAACACTGCTGTGCTCTTTTCATTAGCACCTCACAGTAAACATAAAGCTGCTTCATGTGATGCCATTCTGTCCCAGTCACGTAGAGAGCTCACGCTCATCTAATCCCAGCAGCCTGCAAGACAACACAATACAAGCCTAGCAAATTATTTACATACAAATATACACATTATAAATCATATTTTTCATTTATAGTCTGAATCTCGCTAGTCACACTCGCTTGCTCCCATTCATGCACATGTAGAAATACACTAACAAACACACAAATTGATACTTTTTACTATGTTTTCAGTTTCTAATAATTTTTTTCACCCCTCTATTTTTGGCTTTGTCATCCCCTCGTCCCGCTCTAACTCTCCCTAGTGCTCTCTCTCTCTCTCTTAATTCCTCACTCTTTCATATTCTCTCCATCACCTTCCCACCCCCGTGGTGACTCCATCTGGAGGTCAGACTATGAAGGGCACTAAAGAGGAAAGGAAAGAAAGAGAGAGAAAGAGAGGGATGAATGCACGGATGAATAAATGGATACAGAAGCATCTTGCAACTATTGACATGACCAAAGAAAAAAAAAAGAACTTTTTGGCACCTAAGGCTTTATACAAGTTTGAAGTATGTTAGTGTAGTAGTGAACTTTTTTTTTCCTCATGCATTTTGCATTTTCTTGTCCAAATCACACTATAGATAGATAGATAGATAGATAGATAGATAGATAGATGGATGTCTCTATTCTTTCTCCAACCTCTCGGCTCTTCTGTTCTCATCTCAGCCCCACTTTTCCAGAACACCACACATCACTATGTCCTTTCTGGCATCGCTTCACCACCTCCATCATTGTCCTTCCCTCGCAGAGTCATTTTTAATAGCAACTTCCTCTCTCTGCATCATCCTTCTCTGTTCCTTGTCTTCCTTCGGTCTGTGCAAGCTCAACTGTGTCACTATTCCAGCGTCCCTGTCCCTGAGCACCCTGCAGCACTCTCTTTTTCCCTTCCCAGCACATGTGATCTCTTTATAGGCCAGTGATCTGCGTAATAGGGTCAAGGACGTACAGTACAATTTCAGGTAAAAGTTCACCGAACGAGTCCTCACGAACACGGCTGCGCAGTCTTACACTGAAAACGTGCCAGCAAGTTTTCTGGCATCGATACAGATATGGGAACACGTGTACAAATACATACTGTACTGTACAGGCACACATATGCCTTCTGCCACTATATCCACACTTCCTTACCCCCTCTCTTCCTGCTGATTCTCCCTCTCTTTTGCTCGCTCTTGCTCTTTCTCCCCTCCTCTCTCTCTCACTCTCTTCATCACACACATGCTCTGAATGAACAGCGGTGTGATGTAGTCTACCATGCTGGAGGACAGAAAGAGTGCGAGAGTTGTAGAAAGAGGTAGAATAAGGCAGTAGATTGTGGATCCAGCAATGCCGTAGAACGAAGGAGGCAGAGGGAGACGGAGGGGGAGGGCAGCGAGGACCAACATCGACATCCAACGAAAGAGGCTTTGACAGAGATGATGTGAGTTCTTTTTTTTTTCCTCTCCGATTTAGCTCTCTCTTCCTCTTCTTGTCCATGTCTTTCTCTTCTCAGTTCTCTCATCCCTGACTGTGTTTCTCCTGAGAGATGCGTGGCTGCTTTTCCTCTTTTTCGATTCCCTCGCTCACTCTCCTCCTTCATTCATAGGTTCCGCTTTGTTTACAGACATTGTTAGAGGAGAGGGAGGCGGTAGGGGGAGGGGTCTCTCTCTACCGCCTTGTGCATGCGTTGTCTGGTGGGTGCATTTGTGTGCTTGTACTAGGAGTGTGGGCTCTTGAAATATTTTTTTGGACAACTGTGGGGTTTAGAGTCCAAAAGGTTGAGAACCACTGGTCTAGGGTAAAAAACAAACAAACATTGTATTCACAACTTGTGCACTATTTTCTGCGTTTGATGCCATATGATAACATTTGTGTGAAAACCAGTCATGATTCAAATTCAAAGTTGTGATTTACTGACAACCTTGCTTTGTAGCCGTGGTCACTTTTTTTGCATGGAAAAGTACAGCTTGGACATTTTGTGTTCCACAGAAAAAAAACTCATATGAGAGTAAGTAAATGATGACAAAACTGTCATTTTGGGTAAACTATCCCTTTGAGGAAAGGCAGCATGATATTAGTGGTTTTCAGCCTCCACTTAAGGTCA